ACTAAAATAACATTTTTCAACAAAAAAAAAGTAAAAAAAAATATTATGTAGAAAAAAATGTTGCAATGCCAACATAGCAAGCATATATATATATATATATATAGATACAATCTGAATATATATTAAATGGCCATAATAACTATCTATAGTGTGTCCTTGACAGACTTGATAGTACAGCCTGCACTTTTATGATGCAAACCAATAAACATCTATTTTCTTCTTACTGCTGCCTTAACAAAAAAAATAAAAATAATAAAAGGAAACCATAAGGAGTAAGCAGTAGCGTCCATGAACCCCAGCATGTTAACTGAGCTAGGAGCCACATTGGTTTCTACTTAGGCTTTAGTTTGCCACTTTAAAAAAATAATAACTTAAAGGCGACATGGATAAAACACAAGGGACAAAACAAATACTCCAGTTTCCAATTAACAATGAAATATGATACTTTTTTCAAAAATGTTTCTATAGCCAACAATAACTAAACCTACAAAAGTTCAGCAGCTTTATGTATGCTTCTGCATGAATTTTGGAAAGCAGAACAAAAACAGCAGCTATGTCTGATATTTAGTATAAAGATTGAAAATTAGTGAATGGAAATGAAAGAACCTAGACCAGCCTTTTTTTTACCAGGGTGCCTAGGTACCCCGGGGTGCCTTCTTGGTTATTCAGGGGTGCCTTCACAAAATGACTAAAAACTGTCCTAAATAATATGCACAAGCCAGCAGGTAGATCAAGCCTGACATTTTGTTACAGAATGCAATAGATTTCAATGTGCAAAATTGCAACCTTGGGCACCATGTGGTTTACGTTGCAAGAATAAATTATTTCTAATGTTGGGTGCCCTACAAGTGTGGATGCTGCTGCAAAATGTAAAACTATTACGGGTACCTCAAAATTGTGCATCATTTTAAAGGGTGCCTTGACTGAAAAAAGGTTGAGAAACACTGACCTAGACAATCTAAACAAATATTTATGGCTGATTTTTATTAAAAAAAAAAAAAAAAAAAAACAAAACAAAAAAAAACTGAGGCATAAAAATATTGTCTTTTTGCAGAAGGTTTCTTTGTAAAGTAAATTCAAATATATTTTGTTTGTGTTTTGAAGCTTTCCACGTTCTTTTAATTGCATTTGTTATTTTACCACAAGATGATTTTTAAAATTTACAATATAGCCATCTCATAGATATGGAGCTGGTGGTATTTGTTCACAAGAAACAGATATTTAACACAAATATCAAAAACCTGTTTCTCATATAATATAAATCTAAATCACAAATTACCCCTTGACCGGACCTTCTCAATTGGACCACTCATAGAACCTCACAGTTACTGCCAAGCAAAAAATTAAGTTTAATCTTTTATTTTGCCTTCCCTGGATCCACCTTTTCCCCCTCATCAGCACACTAAATAACATTTTTAATTAAACCGGTTTTCGTGACATACCGTATTTTAGACCTAATGATGTAATCACTGGGTCTCTGTGCTTTTCAATGCAGGCAAATCAAGGCTGGTGGGAAAAACTGGCAGGGTGCTGTATGGAGCTTCCTGAAAACATCACAGCACTCTGCCTTAATAATTAAGTAGTTGAGGCATTCCAGCCAGGTTGTATTTGCATGCAGACTGCCCTAGGTACTGCCTACATGTAATGCCGAGCCTTTATGACTAAAAGAACTGAAATCTAATGAATGAAAGGGGTGGGCCAGGGGCAGTCAGGCTGGGGAGGAAAGACCTATGTGACGCTGGACATCCTTCAGTCAAGAAAATAGGTAAGCGGAGTCTAGGCCTAGACTTCTTTCATTCTGGCAAGCATGGCAGTACTCAACAGGTAGTGCACAACTGTCATTTAGGTACACATGTGCACCCTATGTGTGGCATTTTTTATTTTATACTTTATTCTGCACTTTTAAATGTGTTTTTATAGCTTTATTGCTATCGCAAAGAAGCTGATAAGACCGACCCCTATGTGATAACACTTTTTGACTGCCAAGTTCTCTTTCTGGAGACATCACAGGTCTTTTGGACACCTGATAACCTCTACAATATAGATGGCAGCCTCCTCTTAAAAAGTAAACAAACTGCTACAGTATTTCAGCTGTGCCACCGCTGTAGTGGTTTTGGTGGTGCAGTAAAAGGGTTAAAGCCAAATTCCACTCTCTCTCTCCCACCACTGAATCTTTTAAACTATGAAGACCCCTTGTCGCTTTTTTAAAATTATTATTATAATTACCTTTTTATCCCCAGAAGTCTTAATGCTATTGTCATGTCGCATGTATAGTCCTTTTCCTATTTCCTGGTGCTGGATAGTCTTAATGATGCAGAGGGTATGGCTGGAGGGAAGATGTCAACATTATTCTCTGCCCATTGTACTGCGAGTGCTGGGCACCATGGTGATACCCCCAAGGGACGGGTCCATAATGCCCTAGGATCATAGGAAGTGGGCTGCATGAACTAGACATCATTCAACCAGGAAGAGAACTATCGCTGAATCACAGAGGGGGTTAAGTTTGCTGGAGACAGTGCTGATTTTATGACTGGTGGGCTTTAAAAAAAAAAAAAAAAAAAAGTAAAACTAGACTTGGACTTTATGGAGAAATAACCTGTGTGATCTTCTTGAATTGATTATAGTAAGTTCATTATATAATGAAGCAATTCCTTTTGGGAATAAGACAATGCAATATTTATACACATATGAAGACAATAAATGTGCAGTAAAGCACACATACATAATGTTTTTTTTTAAAAATGACGCTTAGATCTTTACTTGTGCATGGGAAAAAATAACAACCTATGCATATTCAGCATTAAACTGGCTTGCACTAAACTAAAGTCAGCTAGACTGCTATGAGAAACAGATTATTATTACGTTTTTATTAAATGCTTTCACAGCTTTGCTTGGAAAGCAGTAGTACCTAAAATTAGTAGGTTAGTTGAACTATTTTCTTGTTTAAAAAAGTGAACATTTTTAAGCTCATTAAGTAGATAAATGAAAATATACATAGATACACAAAACATAGTAAATGGAAAAGCTAAATGCAATATAAACTTAAATAATGCTAACTGCAAAGTTAGGTTCAATTTTTATACAGGTATCTGACAAACTATTAGTGTTTACAGAATATTTTTACAACTGTAATAAAACCAAAAACTATTTTAACTAACTGTTTTTACACTGGGCCACAGCCCTGTTTACCCATTAATTTGTTTTGTCTTCCCGTCAGATATAATAGAAATTCAGAATTCTCTAACGAGCTGAATGGGTCGAGTTAAACATGCCTAAGCTTTCAAGCTCGGGGTGAAAACTTATTTAGGTGAAATAGTTGCATAATAGATAGCCAAAATGAGGATTTTGTATTAAAAAATATATATATCGACAATAATAATAATAATAAAAAAAAGTTATGCTTTTTTTCTCTTAAACCACTGTTACAACATTCTTTTAGTGATAGTTATTTCCCATAATGACTTAACTCTGAGCAGAAAAAAAACAGTTAACATTGTAGCCCACCCAGACAACCCCCAAGGAAGTTGAAAAATATAGTGCCCATTTTTCTAGGGGATGATTTAATGCATAGGAATACTTTCCTTTATCCAGGGTTTCACAGTCTTTCCTCCCCCCTGGTTCTGCATGAGACAAACAGTCCTCCAATGCTGCTCTTCTTGCCAGTTTGTTGTTGCCCCTCTCTCAGGCGTCATTTGGACCACTGTCCACAGTAGGAACTACATTGTATGTGATAATGTAGGAGTACCTGTCCAAGTCCCACCATTGGATAATGCAGGAACTCACTGCTGGTTGCCACAGGATCATGGCTTAAGTATTCCTTTGTACTTGAAAAGGACACACTATACTATTCATTAGCTGGGGTATGGGAGTGGGGGCAGTGTTCTCTATTCAATTAAAGCCCAACTGAACTTGAAGTTTAAATTAAATATATTCCAGGTACATAAAAACAAAAAGGTGTTAAAAGTCATCCAGTTTGTTTTGTTTAGAAAGCAGACACAGCCTGAATAGCAAAGCCTTGTTACCAGTTTACCAGTTTGCTGTAGAGAGTGATTTGTGCTCTCGTGTGGAAGCAGTTATTTGACATCCCCTTCCTTTGAGTCAGGAATAGAGAGACCACTGCTTCCACGTAAAGAACAGACGTCTTACTCTACAGCAGGCTGTCAGGGGATACACTTTTCTGCTCAGATCGTGGCTGCTTATTTCTAAAAAAAAAAAAAAAAAGAAAAAAAACTAACTGTAGGAATGTGCACACATTTTGTTTGTATGCAACTTCGATATATTTAGCTGTTCAACTGGGCTTGATTCTTAAAGTTCTGCTTGCGTCAGCTATACATACATGTACACAAGAGCAAACATGGGTCAAAGCAAACCCATACGAACATTGTATTACCTGTCTTTATGACAAAGGCACAAGTGCTCTCTTAATTAATTATTCTTGGTGACGTAAACGGTTGTGAATACACAACTGAAGAGTATAAAATCACGTCATACATAAAAATATGAAGCCGGAGTAACTAGTAAATGTTATTCAGGAACAGTCTTTGAATAACATAATGATAATCAATGCAAGATATTCTGTTCAATACAATGCAACAACAGTGCAAAATCTTTTTGTGATCTAAAAGCTATTATAACAGTTAAAACTGTTCTATATACATTGTTTGTGTGAACACACTGTCAAAGTAAACCACATTATTTCATGTTATACTTTGAAGAGAACAATGCACCTCCAATATAAGATTGGAAGCATGTCTCTCAATTTTTTTTTGTTTACCCTTTGAAAGTTTCCCCTCCTAATTCTTAATACGGACTGCTATTTATACCTGTAGTTTATATAAAAATGAACTAAAACAGACAATTGTTTCCCATCATTTCAATGATGTGATTTGGTATTCAATTTGAAAGAGACATTAGTTTTTGTTATTTAGAAGTGTTTTGTAGATCAACATAAACCGTAGACACAAAAAAAACGGAACACGTTTATTTTTTTGCTATAAATCTTATTCTTGAGACGTGGAATCTTCCTTTCCATCAGGATTAAACCTATTAAAGTGTAGGCTAAAATCAGGGCTGGACTGAACAACTTCAGCGTCTGACGATACTATTTTCACATTTGACCGACTGCTCCTGCTCTCTGTCTGGGAAAGAACTGCTGATGAAGAATTGACAGAATGTATCGAGGCACTACTATGTTTTGAGTTTGAATGTGTTGAAGGAAATGGGCTTCCAAACCCCAACATGTTTAGGGCGTCGAGCGTGCCATCTGGATCGATCATTGCATTAATCACTAGAAAACAAAAAAACACAATTGTACAGATATCAGCCTGATCATCATTTAGTACACATTTAGTCCTTTTCAACCACGGACTTTACATTTTGCAAACAAATGGGTTCATTAAAAGAAGTAAGGTCTGATCAGAAAAGTATGGCACTGTCGTAACAGGGGAGGCTGTTAAAAACACTAAGTGGCATATTTATAACACAGTGAATATGTTGTTCAAGAAACATTTCCTGCGGGTGAATCTTCCAGGTGTATGTGTTTAAAAATGACTGTGATTGTTGAAAGTCACGCTTGCATATATGCCCATAAGGGCGTCCACAAAAGGAGCCATAGAATAATGGGCAAGGAGATTCTCAATGAAAAGTAATTGTTCTAATGTCAGAAGCAATATTTTTTCTGTTTCCAACAGTAATACTGGGCATTGATTTGGGTTATTTATGACTATCTTATAAATAATCAACCCTCCTGTACACTCCTTGCAATAAGAGAGAAAGGGGTTAGCAGCCCTTCAGTACCAGAGAACCTCAGAAAAAAAGCATAAATAGAACTCAGAGGGTAGCAAATCCTTCAGCAACACTACAGAATGCTCTATAAACTTGCAAGGTTAGCTCTGCAGAGGGGAGTGGATTGGAAGAGAGCAACACATGCAGATACTACTGCCACTATAGACATGGCAATTGTTACTAAATCCAACTGAAACCTTCTGAACCAGTGACTAACGTCCATTGGTTACTTAAAGCGACTGACGCCAGGCAGAAAGTGCAAATAAAAGTTCAAAAGTGCAAAGCAGAAAATAGATATTTATCTCTCCCACTGCTTGTGCCTCTCTGATGAAAAAAAAAAAATTGACCTGTGAAGGAAATGTGTATGCACCCGAGAAAAACCATGTTCACTTGTAGGTAGGTAGTCAGGGGGTGGTAAGATTGCAAATCAACCTCCAATTTTTACCATCCTAAGGTAAAAGGAGTCTTATGCAGGCCATAGATGGGTCGAAAATCGGCTGATTTTTTTGGCTGAAAAAAAAAAAATTGGCCGATTTGCGCACCGTTAATGGGTTAATTGGTCAGCCGTTTTTCTGGATTTTGCCACATTTTTTTAATTGTTAAAGTTGGGCGATTTTGCGGCAATGATGGGCAAATCGGCCGATCTTTTTACAGATAAAAAATAGGAGGAGGAAGAGGAGGAGGAAGAGGAAGGAGGAAGAGGAGGAGGAGGAGGAGGAAGAGGAAGGGAGGAGGAGAGGAGGAGGAAGAGGAGGAAGAGGAAGAGGAGGAGGAGGAAGAGGAGGAGGATTCCAGTCCGCTATTATATTTGACAGGAAAAAGTATTGCGGTTGCAACAATGTATCTATTTGTATCTGAATAAAACCATCTGTATCCGAAATGGATACAAATAGATACAATGTTGCAACCGCTACACTTTTTAATGTCAAATATAATAGCTAACCTAAATCTAAGATTTAGGATCTGGAAAATGTGTTAAAATAAATGTCAACAGAATGTTAAACATTTAACAGCTGGTGTTCAGAGAATACATTCATAAATACCTTGTAACTGGTTTTCAATTCTCTTTAGCTCTTGTAATATTGATAAGATTTCCTAAAAGAAAAAAAAACTTGTTTTTTTTTTTTTTAATTAACATAGGAATTTATGCCATAACTTTTATTTTGCATTTCAAATATTGAATTATCCTTGTACAATTGTGCAAATATCAAAACTTGTTTTATGAAATAAGGGGTAAACATGATTATTAAATTATTATTATTGTACACCAGTGACTGCCGTTTATAGTTTTCTTTTTATTTATTTTTTTTTTATACGGAAAGCAGATATTCTGACAGGAATGCAGGGCTGATTGCTGGTGCAATGCTTTACAGGCTCCTGTAGACAAAATAAATGCACATTTTTCTCTCTGCAAAAAAATGTGCATTTATTGTTTTTGTCTAAAAGGTGAACTTATCCTTTAAATTCCTCAAATTCTGCACTTACAAAGAAGTGTGGGATAGCCCTCAAATCTTGACTTTTTATCAAATAAGTAGAGTAGTACAAAGATAATTTTCCAATTTATTTAGATAACCACTCTGGAAAATTCATGACAGGCCATTTTTTGCTATTCGGAACTGTGCTACTTTAACTGGCAACTGCAGGATCATGGAACACTGTACCCAAATGAAATTTATTTAATTTTGTTTCACACAAATAGCGCTTTCTTTTGATGGTATTTGATCACCATTGTTTTTTTTTTTTGATTATATAAATGAAAAAAAGACAAAATTTAGAAAAAACTATTTTTTTACTTTCTGGTATAAAACATATTCACAAAAAAAATCTAAAAAAAAAAAATGTCTTCATAAATTTAGACCACAATGGATTCTGCTTCATGTTTTTGGTTAAAAATAAGTGTATATTAATTGTTTTGCATGAAAGTAATAGCGTCTACAAATGATGGTATGTATACTAGAAATTTTCTTTTCTTTTCTTATACTAGTAATGGTGGCGACCAGCGATTTATAGTGGGACTGTGATGCGGCAAGCTGTGCAGTGGGCAATCTGACACTATTATTATACAGGATTTATATAGCACCAACAGTTTACGCAAAAATTTACGCAACACTTTACAATACAAAAGGGGAGGGTACAATTACAATACAGTTTAATGCAGAAGGAAAAGGAGGGCCCTGCTCATGGAGTTTACAATCTAGAGGATTAATTGACACTGTGGGAACTAACATCTCCAGTGACACTAATACAGTGGATCAGTGCTAATAATATACACTGTACTAATGACACTGGCTGAGCAAGGGTTAATATCTAGGGGCAATTAAAAGGCTGCATGCCTAACAAGTGTTAATGTGTGTACTGTGTGCTGCTTTTTACTACAAATCAATTTCTTTTCCCTGATTAGCAGGGAAAAGAAACAAAGCGATTGTTAACCTGTATAGAGCCCTGTGCTTGTCAACACAGGGTTCTAGGCTGTACTTCGACACAGCCGATCAGCAGGTCCCAGCCATGAAGCATTGAAAAGGAGCTATTGACGAACTTCTGCTGTGCTAAACCACAACGGAGTAGGCGGACAGGGGTATTCGTGTGCAAAACCCAGAAGCAGGCAGTGGTGCACCAATACATCACGGTGCCTTTATATGCTGCCCCGCCTCAGTATATGTACTGTGGCAGGTTGGCAAGCGGATACTAAGGAAATTAGGGGTCTCTCATTTCAGAATAGCCCGATACATATGAAAGAGAGCATGATGGTCAGTGCCCAATAAAAGAGATTTTACTGGTTTTAGGTCCACTATATGTCTGATAGGTAATTTAGTTCATACACACTCTTGCTTAGCCTAACAATACATGCATGAGTCTCCTGGAAAAGGACCTGACCTTTCCTTCAACTCTGCTGCAAATAACAGTAAGGGACCATTAAAAAATACTGTATGTAAATGCAGTGTGGGGGTACTGTATCCATCTTAAGACCCCATCTTAAATGTAAGAAACATTCTATGCCCAGTGAGGAGCATTAATGGGAAATTATATTTTTCATTTGAGTCATTTATGGAGAAAGTCCCATTGACATCAACACCAGAAATGTGGGAAGACATTAGGGGATAGCTCTTTATAAGGAAGAGCTATCCAACAATGTTCTGAGAGGTCTATTCCACTTAGGGATTTTTCCATAGCAACCAACATTTTACTTTTATCAGCTAGTGTGCAGTCTAAGTCTTATTAATGGAGAAGCAATATATTCTCTTCTATCTTCTAAAATAAGGCAAAGCCAGGCCCCCTTCTCTCCTTAAAAGAAATATTGCATTTGAGATGTAGGATGTTTTAAATTCCAAATAAATTAACTTAACATTGAAACCCGCAGCGGAATGCAGTGCGATTCTGATGCGGTGCGGGAAATGCACAGAATTCGCTGCGAATCCTGTACCGCATCAGTGTGAAAAAGGGAGCATATCCATTTTTAGTATTGGATTCAAATCAATCTGTCAGGATTAGGAAACCCTGAAAAGGGTAAGTATGAGCCCTAGATGCTGCAACACTGAAATGTTTAAAATGAAGGTCCCCTTTTTCAATTTATAAAAAAAGATTAGGAATTTTGCACATTTTTACAAAGGATTATGTCTAGAGTTTAAACTCATAGAATGATGAACGAAGTTTAAGAGCCGATTCACACATGGGCAGTGCGGATTGAAGCTCATGCTTCACAGCTAATGACACAGTAGTTGTTCAGCAGTTCAAGTCAGGTTTACATCAGGTTCAGGACAGGATTAACTCAATTTTTAGTCTGTTCACACATAAGCGGTTTAGAAACGGTTCCCATAGAAGTCAATAGCCTGTAATCCGCACCTGAACCCATTGCTCAGAAACCATACATGACTCTTTTTCAAACTGCACTGAATCCGCACCGCCAGTGCACCGGACATATGTGAACAGGCACCATAGGAAGCAATGTTATTTCACATGTCATGCGGATTGGATGTGGTTCAAACCGCATCCAATCCACATATATGTGAACTGGCACTAATAATAAGGGTAGATTTAACCACTTGCCTACCGGGCACTCCCCCCCCCCTTCCTACCCAGGCCAATTTTCAGCTTTCAGCGCTTTCACACTTTGATTGAATTGTGCGGTCATGCAACACTGTACCCATATGAAATTTAAAAAAAAAAAAAATTCACACAAATAGAGCTTTCCTTTGGTGGTATTTAATCACCACTGGTTTTTTTATTTTTTGCACTGTAAATGAAAAAGCAAAACATTTGGAAAAAAAAAAAAGGTTTTATTTGTTTTGTTGATAACATTTTGCAAACAGGTAATTTTCCTCCTTCACTGATGTGCACTGATGAGGCTGCACTGATAGGCAGCACTGATGGGCATTGATGAGGAGGCATTGATAATGCACTGATATGCAGCAATGATAGGCACTGATTGGCAGCACTGACTGATAACACCGACTGGAGGCACTGACAGGCAGCACTGCTGATCATTGATGGGCGACACTGCTGGGCACTGATGGGTGGTACTGCTGGGCAGCACTGATAATCAGTGCCCTGATTATTAGTGCAGATCTCTCGTCACATTTGCCGATTATCGGCAGTACTTTCAGTGTGAGGAAAGTGTAGCTGATAACCGACAATTGTATTTACATTGTGATCTGCTGTGTCATTGGACACAGCTGATCACATGGTAAAAGGCCGCTGTGATTGGCCTTTTACCTTATCACATGATCAGCTGTGTCCGCACCGGGTGCGTGCTGCTGGGGGCGTGCAGGGGGTGCGTTCTGGGAGGATGTCTATGGACGCCCTCCCAGAACTATACAACCACGCTTTAGCCGTCTGTCCGGTACAGCGCGTTTGGGAAGCGGTTAAGAACAATTGGTAAAATAAAATACTGTTAATTTCTCCAGTAAGCTGAGTACTGCAGTTGTGTGTTACCAGAAGAAAGAAATGCATTAAAAACTATTTTTTCTTCAAGTAAAAATGCTGCTCCCCAATTCCATGCTCTATGCTGGCAGAGCTAAGAAACAGCAATTTCCCTGATAACAAGTGTCCTAACACTGATTTGTTGTACAGAAGAGATAAGAGTTTGTGCTTCTGACCATTTCTGTCACCAATCACCAAAAGCACTGGGTCCAGGGCTGGTCATAAACTAATAGATTTTTTTTTTCATTTAGCCTGCATAAATAAATCTAACAGATTCCTCCATCTACGCTAAACAGTGATAACGGTCAAATCTCGTGCTGAGGCTATTGTACTGCAACAGCTGGTGGCTATCAGCATACAGTGGGCATTGCTAGACAGTATCTAAACCCCTATTCAATCAGCGCAACACACCCTAAAATAATATGATAGTGCTCTAAATAGTTGCTGTTAAAACACTGCTAGTGACTTTATAAGACCTGTACCAAAATGAACAACAATTAAGTGTAGTGCAACAGACTAATATCTTATATAAAAATAAATATTAAACAATAATTAAAGTCCCATGATAGTCCTATAAAGTCCCATAGTCCAATAAAGTCATGGGACTTTAATTCTGGTTTAATATTTATTTTTATATGAGATATTAGTCTGTTGCGGTACACTTTATTGTTATTCACATTACTAGACCGCGATTGCAGCTGATACACTGCAGTCACTGTATGGCTGAGAATTATGCACCCAGCTCATTGGATTTTAAGACTGTAGGAAGTCAGGTGATAGGGTGCCAACAGGACCACCCACTGCTCGAATTCTGGTGGATTCATCAAAAACCGGATGAAATTCTATTAGTGTACGGCTAGCTTACATCTGGTGTCTATTGAATTGTGCAGTCATACTCAGACACCCTGCACAACAGCTGTAACAAGAAAATGGAGATGAGACCTTGCAAATGGAGGTTGTTAGTACAATATCAATCTGACTCCAAATCTTTCTGTAATTTTAACTGAGCTATAAACAAATGCTGAATTACCACGCATGAAGTTTTCAGAATTGGTATTTCACTTTCTGATCTCAACTTCTTCTCAATCTCGTCCCAGTTTCTTTCTTTGTCCTTAAATAAAATTCTGTGATATAAAAAAAAAAAAAAGTACAGGCGTATTGGAACATAAATTAAAAATGTACACATGAATAAATGTTCCTAGATATCTAAACAAAACAAGGCTCTTATAGAATAGTGTAGTCATTTAAATTGAAAAAGCTGCAACTTTAGGACATAAATGCCATACCTTATTTTATTAGCTGTTTTATCAATAGTCTGTCTAATTTTTCGAGAAAATTGGAACACAGAAGAAAGCAGTAAACTATCTCCCATTACCTGCACAGAGAAGAAACAAAAAGTTAGATTTTTTTCCATATAAACAGAAAGGGGAGTTTATAAGATGGGAGCAGCTGTACATGGCAACCAGTCAGCTTCTATCTTTTATATTCAAAGCTTAACTGAACAAGCTGAAGATAGGAGCTGATTGGTTGCTATGCACAGCTGCTCCAGTTTTAGTAAATTCCCCCCAAAGGGTCTTTCACATTTTTGTAGATGGTAGGGTTCTGCACACTACAATGTTTTGCATTTGAAATCTGCTCCAACATACAGTGCCTTGAAAAAGTATTCATACCACTTGAAATTTTCCACACTTTGTCACTTTACTTTAAAAACATGGTCTATGGACATTTATAAGTACTGTAATATGTCGCCATTCCATGAGCGTGATGTGTTGGCCATCTATTTACCCAGCATAACATCATCTTTGCTATTTCAGCTAAAAATTGGGTATTATATTCTGTTTTTGTGCAATAAAATTCATTAACGTATATATATTTTTAAATTTGCATTTGAAAAACCATTGCGCAAATACCATGCCAAATTGTGACACCGACCATTATATTCTATAGGGCCTCTGTTTAGAAAATATATATAGCCTGGAGGTTCTAAGTAATTTTCTAGAAAAAAAAAAAAGCAGATATTTACATGTATGAGAAAAGTGTCAGAACTGGCTCAGTATTGAGATGGTTAATCTATTGCTCACCATTATCAGCAAGCATTAGATTCCGATTATTGTGATCTGGACGAGAAGCAAGACCAGCCCTGCCCAATTCAAGGATGGCAACTTGAGCTCTCAGAAAGTAAGGTGAAAGCACTGTGCTTATAATCTGATACTGAGCACTTTACACTCTACACTGTGTGCACAATTATTAGGCAAGTGAGTATTTTGACCAAATCAAAATTTTTATGCATAATGTCCAACTCCAAGCTGTATAAACTTGAATGCTTATTGGATGTAAGCATATCAGGTGATGTGTATTTGTGTCATGAGGGAGGGTGTGGCCTAGGGAGATCAACACCCTAAAGGAAGGTGTGCATAATTATTAGGCAGCTTCTTTTCCTTAGGCAAAATGGGCTAAAAAAGAGATTAAACTGACTCTGAAAAGTCAAAAATTGTAAAGTCTTTCAGAGGGATGCAGCACTCTTGAAATTGCTAAGATATTGGGGCGTGATCACAGAACCATCAAAAGTTTTGTTGCAAATAGTCAACAGGTTTGCAAGAAACATGTTGCAAAAATAAGGCACAAATTAACTGCCAAAGATTTGAGAAGAATCATACATGAAGCAACCAGGAACCCATTATCCTCCAGTGCTGTCATACTCTAGAACTGCAACCTACCTGGAGTGCTCAAAAGTACAAGTTGTTCAGTGCTCAGAGATACGGCCAAGGTAAGGCAGGCTGAAACTGGACCACCACTGAACAAGACACATAAGTTGAAACATCAAGACTGGGCCAACAAATATCTAAAGACAGATTTTTCAAAGGTTTTAAGGACTGATGAGATGAGAATGACTCTTGATAGACCAGATGGATGGGCCCATGGCTGGATCAGTAATGGGCACAGAGCTCCACTTTGACTCATACGCCTGCAAGGTGGAGGTGGGGTACTGGTATGGGCTGGTATTATTAAAAAGATGAGCTAGTTGGACCTTTTTGGGTTGAAGATGGACTCAAAATCAGCTCCCAAACCTACTGCCAGTTTTTAAAAGACAGTTTATTCAAGCAGTAGTACAGGAAAAATTCTGCATCTTTTAAGAAGACCATGATATTTATGCAGGACAATGCTCCATCTCATGCATCGAAGTACGCCAGTGCGCAGCTAGCTAGTAAAGAATAATGACATGGCCCCCTTTCTCACCTGACTTATACCCTATTGAGAAATTGTGGGCCCTTCTTAAACAGGAGACTTACGGTGAAGGAGAACCGTACACCTCTCTGAACAGTCTCTTGGAGGCGGTGGTTGCTGCTGAACAAAAAGTTGATGTCAACAGATCAAGAAACTTACAGACTTCATGACTAGAAGGCTTATGACTGGTATTGAAAAGAAGGGTGGCTATATAGGTCACCGATTTTTTTTTTTTTTTGTAATGTCAGAAATAGTCATTTGTAAATTTTGAGCGGTTTGTTTATTATTCTCACTTTAACAGATGAGAATAAACAAAGTGAGAAAGGAAAACTTCTGTTTTTCATTCAGTTGCATAAAAAAGTATGCAAACTAATAGTTGCCCAATAATTGTGCACACATAGGTATTCTCCTATATTTTAAGAAAGCCAAAACCTCACTTTTACTTTCTTAAATATTCAGGTTTGATTTTTTTTTTTTTTAACATTTTGGATTGACCGAGAGCACTGTAATTGTTCAATAATAAAATAATCCCCAAAAATACAACTTGCTAAGAACTGTGCACACAGTGTATAGTAGGATTAGGATCCCAAGAGCTGATCAGTGTAGCTCTTTGTGCACTGGATCACAGCGCTCAACTGACAGCCAGAATTTCCAGAATTGAATCTGCTAGCCCCGGATATTATTATTATATAGGATTTATATAGCGCCAACAGTTTGGCAGCGCTTTACAATATAAGGGAGACAGTACAATTACAATATATTTCAGTACCGAAAGGAATGTGAGGGCCCTGCTCGTGAAGCTTACAATCTAAAGGAAGAGGGAGGTGATACAAAAGGTGATAGCTGCGGGGGATGATCTGGTGGAGGTGATTCAAGTACAGTTCTTAGGTGAAGGTGGGGTAGGCTTCCCTGAAGAAGTTTTCAAAATATTGCCTAAAGTCAGACAGGGTGGGGGCTGACCGAACATGCTGTGGTAGGCAGTTCCAGGGGATGGGAGAGGCTCTGGAGAAGTCTTGGAGGCGAGCTTGGGAGAAGGTGATGAGGGAGCTAGAGAGGAAGATATCTTGGGAGGAGAAGAGTAGGCGGTATCTGTGGATGAGGTTGGCGATGTAGCTAGGGGCAGTGTTGTGAATGAACAAATAGACAGAGGTCCCCCTGCGCTCCACAGAGTATCTAACTGAAATGCTAGCTGCTATTACTTATTCCTTATACCACGGGACATATGAAAACCAAAAAAATGTGATGACGCGCTCAGCTATAAGTGTAACAAAAATTATACAATGATCAATACTAAACAACATACGATATATTACATCCAATGTGAATGAATCATGTGAATAAAACACTCAATCCCCTAGGAATCAATAATGTGACATAATTTTGGATGGCCAACCATGGAACCAGTGCTTTTATATAGTGCCTAAATTAAATCCGTGCCAAAAACAAACTCATGTTATGCCACCTAGTGGCTGACCAGATAAAGTGAAAATAATGAGATAATCCCACTCGTGTATACAAAGTGACAATTATATACATATATAGATAATAATATCACAACAGCCCAAAATAACGTGAAAAACTGTGCACATGATAAATGGTGTTCAATATACAGTGATTCAAAACTTCATTCCATGCTGCAAAACGTGCTCCTGGTGACACTCTGACGTGACTCCCCTGGACTAGCTAAAGTGCCTCCTCACCTTCTAGATTCGACCCATAGGGGCCAAAAAGCTTTAAAATATAAGGATCTCAACCTGGCTTCAATGCCTCCACTTGTTCCACCGACTCCAATACAGTCCCCCTCAGAGTTAAATGTTCCTCTCATAATAGACTGAAGGGGGGACAGCCAGTGTAACGGTAGACCAGTGAGGAGGGAGTTGCAGTAATCAAGGCGGGATATAACTAAGGTGTGGATAAGCTGTTTTGTGGTGTCACTGGTTAGAAAGGGGTAGATTTTGGAAATGGTCCGGAGGTTGAGGTGGCAGGATTTAGCCAGTGAGTGGATGTGGGGCCCAAAGGAGAGGTCAGAGTCTAGGATTACGCCTAGCACCCTGGCATTAGGGGAAGGACCAATGGTTGTGCTGTTGATCTTAATGGTGAAGTCGCGAGTGGGGGATCGGGGAGGAGGAAATATTACAAATTTTTGAAAGATTGAGTTTAAGGTAGTGATGTGACATCCATGCTGATATGTCGCTTAGTAGATTTGTGTTACGTGAGGAGATTGAGGGGGTGAGCTGGGGAGTGGAGAGATAGATCTGGGTGTCATCAGCATAGAGGTGGTATTGGAAGCCATAGGAGGTTATCAGTTGGCCCAGGGAGTAGGTATAGAGAGAGAAAAAAGGAGGGGCCCAAGAACAGAACCATGTGACATGTGACAATGAAAGTGCGCTGAGAAAGGTAAGAGGAGAACCAGGAGAGAGCAGAGTCATGTAGGCCGATGGAGTGGAGTTTACTGAGGAGGAGCGGGTGGTCGACTCTTTCAAAGGCAGCGAAAAGGTCAAGGAGTATGAGTATGGAGTAATGGCCGTTGGTTTTAGCAGTTATAGCCACTGAAATCAGGTGCTGCTTTAAAATAGTGTTGCAAAAACTGCAACGCCATTTTAAAATGGTACTAGAGACCATATATAATATAGGGTGGATAATATAGCAAGTATTAATGGTACTGAGTAACAGTGTAATTAAGAGTTGAGTGGTGCGATATTCTAATACACTAAACTTCATTCAATCCTAATACTACTTTTAATAAGTCACATCATTATAACCGAGCTGTATTTCTCTGTATTGTTGTGTATTGGAGCTGCACCTTGGCATAGCAGAAACGATTCAATTGATAGCAGCTTTAGACAACATTCAATAGACTACAAATCAGATAACTTCACAAACCAAGCCTGTTATAGTAGTGAGGGCAAAGAGGAACCCATTAACCTATGCCATACTACAGCAAACACATTCAGCCCATCACTATAAGGGCAAGAAGGGCTTTTCTCTGGTCAGAATTTTGTGTTTAACAGCCTACAGTTTGCCACACAAAGATAACAGAAAAAAAAATTACAAAATGTTCATGTGAATATGAGACAGAGAAAAGCCCTTCCTGTGACTGAATTTTTCCTTAACATCTGTCTGCCATCTAAAATCTATAAAAAACATACTATACATTTAGCACCTGCCTGAACGTGCAAGATTTGTCTGCTAACTGAAAAGAAAAATTGTAAATGTAAAAAATGTAGCAAAATTTACTGATAAAGGTTCAGACTGGAATGTCACTTGGATTTTCTGATATTTTAACTTACTTCATCTCTACTCCATGTTTTTCTTCTAGTGATAAGTGGAGGTTCCGAATCTTTAGGCTGGACTTTGGCTTCACTAGCTCGCAAGCTTGCTTCTGATCTGGATGAATTTGATGGAGGAATCTTTCGGAAGTTAAGGCTTTCATCAAATACACGGTCCACTAGCTGTTCATAAAGGAAAAGGGTAGGAAATAAATTGATGCCTTCAAGTACAACATTCCTGAACTAGATTGTTAACACTGTTCCTTATGTGTCACAGTGCACGTAGGCGTGAATGGGCCATGTAGTTTTTAAAAACACCTTAAACCGCAGCATAAATGAGAACTAGTCCCTTAGGAAAGAATGGGAAAGAATTGTCCATTTTCATGTGATACAGTGCATCCAGAAAGTATTCACAGCACTTAATCTTTGCCACATTTGGTTATGTTACAGCCTTATTCCAAAATTGATTAAATTAATTTTTTTCCTCAACATTCTACAAACAATACCCTATAATGACAACCTGAAAGAAGTTCGTTTTGAAATCTTTGCAGTTTATTAAAAATAAAAAAAAATGAAAAAAAAAAAAAAAAAAAAAAAACAAAACAAAAAACACATGTACATAAGTATTCACAGCCTTTGCCATGACACTCAAAATTGAGCTCTGGTGCATCCTGTTCCCACTGATCATCCTTCAAGATGTTTCCACAACTTGTTTGAAGCCCACCTGTGGGAAATTCAGTTGATTGGACATGATTAGGAAAGGCATAAACCCGTCTATATAATGTCCTACTTTTAACAGTGCATGTCAGAGCAAAAACCAAGCCATGAAGTCCAAGGAATTGTCCGTAGACCTCCGACACAGGATTATATCAAGGCACAGATCTGGGGAAGGGTACAGAAAATGTTCTGCAGCACTGAAGGTCCAAATGAGCACAGTGGCCTCCATCATCCGTAAATGGAATAAGTTTAGAACCACCAGGAATCTTCCTAGAGCGGGCCGCCCGGCTAAAATGAGCAATTGAGGAAGAAGGGCCTTAGCCAGGGAGGTAACCAAGCACCCAATGGTCTCTGTGGAAAGAGGAGAACCTTCCAGAAGAACCACCATCTCTGCAGTACTCCACCAATCAGGCCTGTATGGCAGAGTGGCCAGACAGAAGCCACTCATCAGTAAAAGGAAAATGGCAGCCCGCCTGGAGTTTGCCAAAAGGCACCTGAGGGACTCTCAGACCATGAGAAACAAAACTCTCTGGTCTGATGAAATAAAGTTTGAAGTCTTTGGCCTGAATGCCAAGCATCATGTCTGGAGGAAACCAGGCACTGCTCACCACCTGGCCAACACCATCTCTACAGTGAAGCATCGTGGTAGCAGCATCATTCTGTGGGTATACATTTCAGCGGCAGGAACTGGAAGACTAGTCTGGATCGAAGTAAAGATGAATGCAGCAATGTACAGAGACAACCTTGATGAAAACCTGTTCCAGAGAGCTCTGGACCTCAGACTGGGGTGACGGTTCATCTTTCAACAGGAAAACGACCATAAGCACACAGCCCACATAACAAAGGAGTGGCTATAGGCCAACTCTGTGAATGTCCTGGAGTGGCCCAGCCAGAAATCTCAGACTGGAACCCGACTGAACTTCTCTGTAGAGATCTGAAAATGGCTGTGCACCGATGCTCCTCATCCAACCTGATGGAGCTTGAGAGGTACTGCAAAGAAGAATGGGAGAAATTACCCAAAAATAGGTGTGCCAAGCTTGTAGCATCATACTCAAAACAACTTGAGGCTGTAATTGGTGCTAAAGGTGCTTCAACAAAGTATTGAGCAAAGGCTGTGAAAACTTATGCACATGTGGTTTTTTTATTTTTAATAAATTGCAAAGATTTCAAAACAAAACTTCTTTCACGTTGTAGAATGTTGAGGAAAAAAAATGAATTTAATCAATTTATGAATAAGGCCGTAACATAACAAATTGTGGCAAAAGTTAAGCGCTGTGAATACTTTCTGGATGCACTGTACCTCCAAATCTACAGTGTCTTGAAAAAGTATTCATACTCCTTGAAGTTTTCCACATTTTGTCATGTTACAACATGTTACAACAAAAAACGTAAATGTATGTTATTGGGATTTTTTATGCGATAGATCAACACAAAGTGGCACATAATTGTCAAGTGGAGGGAAAATGATAAATGGTTTCCAAATTTTTTAAAATAAATATCTGAAAAAGTGTGCCATGCATTTGTATTCAGCCCCCTTTACTCCGATACCCCTAACTAAAATTTTGTGGAACCAACTGCCTTCAGAAATCACCTAATTAGTAAATAGAGTCCATCTGTGAGTAATTTAATCTCAGTATAAATACAGCTTTTCTGTGAAGCCCTCAGAGGTTTGTTAGAAAACATTAGTGAACAAACAGCATCATGAAAGCCAAGGAACACATCAGACAGGCCAGGGATAAAATTGTGGAGAAGTTTAAAGCAGGGTTAGGTTATAAAAAAAAAAATATACCCAGGGGAAGAGTTGGATTAAAATAGAAGGAATTTTCAGTAAAGTAACACACGATTAGAGAGGATTATTTGGATACCACAAACTTTTTGTATTATGGATGAGGTACACTGACACAGGAGGTGTTAAGAGTATGGGATGGAATGCACAAACAAATTGACTGGAAGTATAATTCACTGTTGATTCCCCTGGTGGGTACTGAGTTACTGAGAGTAAAAAAGAGATATTTGTGGCATTAGATGAAATGAGATATTACCAATGAAGACATTTTGTTTTGAAGTTGCCTCAACCACTGAGTATGGCGGAGGACATGCTCCAATTCGAAAAGATGTTGGGTTCTAGTATGGCTCCAAAACAGGTCACTTCTGGGATATATAAGATTCTTACTGAATTGAAGGGGGTGGGTCCTCCGCTGTTCTTAGAGAAATGGGAAAGGGAACTGGGAACAAAAATGAACGAATTACAGAAAAATAAAATGTTTAAATTAACACATGGGGAGATGAACATGAACATGGTTGAAATTAATTATAAATGTTTAACGAGATGGTATTTGACACAGAGTGTCAAACATAGACAACGAGTAAAAGTCTCACCGCTTTGTTGGAGGGGATGTGGAGCCAAGGGAAAAATGGCACATATATTGTGGAACTGTCCAAAAATACAGGGGGTTTGGCAATATATAATCCAATTGATAAAAGAGATACTGGGGACAACTATACAGAAGGATCCGTGGGTGTATTTATTTTATAGGTCAGAAGTACCGGTGAAGCAGTATAAAAATAGTGCATCATACCATCTATTCAGCGCGGCTTATTCCCAAATTCTGGCAGGTACAGGGGCTTCCAACAATGAGGGACTGGTTAGATAGGGTTGAATATAGAAACAAGATGGAGGAGTTATATCATATAGACGAAGGTAAAATAGGAAAAATTCAGAAAGGAATGGAGATGTTCTGACTTCAAGGCATCCGGAAAATATATGGTAGTGGGAGGCTGTGATCTGATCCGTGGTCGGAGAACGTTTTTGTAAGACCATAGCAGAAATAGGAAAAGGGAAAAGAAAGGAGGCAGGGAAAGAAAGAATAGTAAGAAAAGGAAGAGAAGATTGAGGAGAAAGGTTATAGACATGAACTGGATTGTTGGAAAAAGAGATGGGAAGAGTTATATGGAATGGGGTAAGTTTTAAGGGGGGTTGGGAGAGGGGGCACTGTTCAATCCATCATTCGAAAATGGAAAAAGTATGGTACAACTGCAAACATACCAAGACATGGCCGTCCACCTAAATTGACAGGCCAGGCAAGGAGAGTATTAATCAGAGGAAGCAGCAAAGAGACCCATGGTAACTCTGGAGGAGCTGCAGAGATCCATAGCTCAGGTGGGAGAATCTGTCCACAGGACAACTATTAGTCATGCACTCCACAAATCTGGCCTTTATGGAAGAGTTGCAAGAAGAAAACCATTGTTGAAAGAAAGCCATAAAAAGTCCCGTTTTCAGTTTGCGAGAGGCCATGCGGGGGACACAGCAAACATGTGGAAGAAGGTGCTCTGGTCAGACAAGACCAAAATTTAACTTTCTGGCCTAAAAGCAAAACGCCATGTGTGGCAGAAAACGAACACTGCACATCACTCTGAATACACCATCCCCATCGTGAAACATGGTAGTGGCAGCATTATGTTGTGGGAATGTTTTTCTTTAGCAGGGACAGCTAAGCTGGTCAGAGCCAAATACAGGGCAATCTTAGAACAAAAACCTGTTTAGAGTCTGCAAAAGACTGGAGATTGGGGTGGAGGTTCACCTTCCAGCAGGACAATGACCCTAAACATACAGCCAGAGCTACAATTGAATGGTTTAGATCAAAGCATATTCATGTGTTAGAATGGCTCAGTCAAAGTCCAGACTTAAATCCAATTGAGAATCTGTGGCAAGACTTGGAAATTACTGTTCACAGACCCTCTCCATCCAATCTGACAGAGCTGGAACTATTTTACAAAGATGAATGGGCAAAAATGTCACTCTCTAGATGTGCAAATCTGGTAGAGACATCCCCCCAAAAAACTTGCAGCTCTAATTGCAGCGAAAGGTGGTTCTGCAAAGTATTGACTCCGGGGGCTAAATACAAATGCATGCCACACTTTTCATTTATTTATAAAAAAATTTTTTTAAAACCATTTATCGTTTTCCTTTTACTTCACAATTATCACTTTGTGCTGGTCTATCACATAAAATCCCAATAAAATACATTTACATTTTTGGTTGTAACTTGACAAAATGTGGAAAATTTCAAGAGGTATGAATACTTTTTCAAAGGCACTGTATGCAACAACTTGTGCATTTTTCAGGATAAAACTATAGAAGTGTGAATAAGATCTCATGGATCTCTTCTAGACTGACAATTTTTAGAACATTTTAGAAAAGGTGAAGAAAGCTCGGGCATCCAGTTTCATTTGTAGGTGAACATACAGTGGTACCCCAAACATGGAGTCAGATTGGAGCTTTGGGCAGAGGAGGAGAGCGTCACAGCTGAACCGAATAGGGTGTAAGGTAAGTAAAGTTGCTTAAAGACTAGCCCCTAACCATAATCCTTGCAGTGGGGGGGGGGGGGGGGGTCACCACTGTAAGGGTGAATTTTTGGTGGTATTTAACAGGTTTTGTTACTATAAAAAAGGAAAAAAAAAGACCT